GGGTCCCAGCTCTGAAAAGGGTGCCAAAGACAGAAGATAAAGCGTGCCTTGCTCGCTGCCTGGGGCCGTTTGTTTTCAATGAGGACCCGAGTGCCTTTCACAGCACATTTGTCATCCGCTCTTACGTTCATGCTGGGTCATTTTCATTGTCTCCTGCTCTGAGATGTTTGATAAGGATCTAGCTGAGAGGCAGAGGAAAATCCGCTGTTCAACAAAGGCACCCACCATTGTGCCCTGGGCACTTCAAAGCTCACACAATATCTTATTTTTATTATTTCTTCTCCCCCCCCCAAAAAAAAAAAGTATGAACCGTGTGTTTTGCACCCTAGACTGTCTGTGGGAAAATGTATGTCTCAGTTGGATCCGGAGCTGCTGACAACTGACAAAAAGAGAGAGTAATTTGGGCTAAGATTTGTTTAAATGCTTTAAATTCCTTTTTCTTCTACATGGTGTACAATAGCACCCATTAGACCTCAGCACAGCAGAAACCTGGGGCAGGATGCTGCCAGGAGGTTATTCCAGACTTCACATGAGCATCTCTGTTCCACTGTTGGTTCGATGGCTCTGAGTATTGGGATCAGGGTGAGCGGAGTGGGAAGGGCCCACATTCTCCTAAAGGTCCTGACGTGTCTACCAGACACTATTGAGAAAGACGGAAACAAGCCCCCCCCCCAGTGGGATGGGCATGGAGTGCCAAGTTCAAGTGGGTTTTAGACTTGAAGCTCACAATTCTACAGACCACGTGGCCCAGTACGCAGGGCAGGTGAACAGATCCAGTTAATCCCACAAAACTGAGAATATATCACAGACGTCGGGAATTAAGAGGGAATCCAGCAGGTGGCAAGGAAGCATCAATGGAGGGAAAATGATAAAGGGACTTCCTGCGATCCATCCCCCGAAGCAGAACTGATGGGGCAAACTCAGCAAAACGTCATTATTTTGGACTTTCTTCTTCTCCAGTGCCCCCCATGGACTGAGCACAGGACCAGAGGTGGCTGCGTCTTTTCCTGTCCTACTGTGTGGGCCTGGCCACCCCTTCGAGACTTCCTCCCTACAGCCTGGGACCCTGGAGGCATTGAATTCTTGGTCTGGACATTTGCTGGAGTGGAGATGCATGGGGAGCTGCAGGTGGCCCTGGGAAAACTGCGGAAGGCTGTCTGGAGTTCAGAAGCCCTCCCAAAGTGCAGCGTGGTGAATGTGGGGGAGAGGCAAGGTGGAGAGGGAGGCTGCCCTGGGGGAGGAGAGGCCCTTATTGATACCTCCGTTGGCTTCAGCCAGGTGATCGCTGAGGACAAGGAAGACCTTGTGGTCCTCTCAGGAGAACCAAGGAATGTAACCTGATCCCCGAGATCCATCCCAGCCCTTCCCAGGTGGAGAAGCTGAGGCTCAGAGAGGAGAAGGGCCTTGGCCAAAATCACACAGCAAGGTCAGGAGCAAGGTCAACTGTTTCTCTCTGTGGCTTATTACTACACCAGAGAAATAGAGAATGTGGGAGAAAAGGCAGGTGTGAGGAGACGACGTGGAAATTTGGAACTCGTGCTCAGCTATTAGAATGATCAGAACTTTGAGGTCAGAGGGGTTCTTTCATTTTTCTAAGAAAGAAATGTGTTTTTATCATCCTACTTCATGGCTGGTGGGAAAAAAAGCTCTTCAAGTCCCTAAGGACTGTTAGGAAACCCTCCATTAAATCTAGTCCTCAGATCTGAGTCACAGTAACTATAATAAACTCTGTGAGTGTGTTTTTCTTTTAGGGTTTCTCTTTTGGCCGGTCACGTCAGGGGTACGGAGGGGGTGGCCAGTAGGGATGGGCAAGGGTTCTGAGCATAATACAAAAATACACAAATGGGGCTGGTCTCACAGCCAGCTGGCCTCCCTGTGTGTGCTCAAGAAACCCCATCTGCATCCTTCCGAAGGGAGACGGCTCTGGGGACCGGCCCTACTGAGGGACTGGCCCTCCTACTGGAGGCTGGGTTGGGGTGGGAATGGTTATGGGTACGTGTTCCCTTTGCTGCAACGGCTTTCCCCACTTCCGACCCCAGCCACTGGCACCCCCATCCCTGGGCTGCGGTGTCACCCTGCAGGGCTCAGGTGAAATGTCACTCTGACACCCTGCACTTCTGCCTTGTAGCACGCATCACTCTTGCAAATACAGGTACCCCCGCTTTTTGAAAGTCTGCCTTATGCCTTTTTTATCCTTGCCTGGGAATATATTTATGGATTTGAGAGAGAGAAACATCAATGCAACAGAGAAACTTGATCAGCTGCCTCTTATACATGCCCTGACTGGGAATCGAACCCGCAACCTAAGTAGATGCCTTGACTGGGAATCAAACCTGCAACCTTTTGGTGTATGGGGTGATGCCCCAGCCAATGCAGCTACCCGGCCAGGGCTACCTTTGTTACTTTTTTATTTAAATTTAAAAAATTGAAGTATAGTTGGCATAGCACATTGTATTAGTTTCAGGTGTGCAAAGTGCCGCAACATTGATATACCTTACGACGGAACCAGCTCACACCTGCTCTTTCATGGGAGGCCCACACTAACCTGTGTTCGGCAACCTTAACTCATCCGAAGAGCATTTTTGCATTTAGGAAACAAGATGAGCAGTGAAAATACGGTTCAGCGTGTGCTTTGCATAGGCCATTGGAGGGGCTGCGGGAGCCCAGAGTGGCGGGAGTGGCCCCCGGTTTTAACTCCCATACAAGCCGAGTGTCATGCGCACCGGGGGCACTATTGTCACCGTCGCGTCCATGCTGCATTATCGTCATCGTCCCTATTATACGGGTGTCTGGAAGGAGGCCCAGGAAGGTTAGGGATCCTGCCCCTGGTCGCACAGCCAGAGCTGGGAGCAGACGGCTGCTTTCCCTGCCACCCACCTGTGTCTCCTCGCCCAGCTCTGAGGCCTTACGTCTCTCCAAGGGAACTGGTGCCGTTGGCGCTGGAACCTGGAGCCCTGCCCTCTGGCAGGGCCTCATCCACCTGGATTTTTCCACAGGCTGACAACCCTTATTAAGCTCTCTTGACCTGTGACCCGACAGTGACCCCAGCATTTGGCCTCTGCTGTGTGTGGTGGTGTTGGGCACGTACCTGGAGTCTCAGCACCCCTAGAGGTGGGGGCTTGTGGAAAGCCGACCACTGCAAGTTCACTGCCAAGGCCCGGGAACCAGAACCCAGGCCTGGTTTCCGAAACCAGCCTCCAGGCTGTTGTCCCCAGAAGAGGCGACCTCAGGGGGGAACTCAGTCCTGAGCACAACTCAGGGGCAATAAGGGAGGAAGCCAATGAAGCGGTCTATCTCATTTATTTCTTTTTCCTCCCCCATTTCCGCTTCGGCTCCTCCGACCCCGGGCCCCCTGCCTCCGGTTTCCGGCCACTTTCCGGCTCCTGACCGACCTCCCACATGAGCGTGCCAGCCCCTCTCCGCTTCCCCTAATCTCTGCACCGGACTCGGCTGAGCTGCGTCCACCACCGCACAGGATTTCCGAGGGTGATAACTGCGGAGCCCGGTCCCTCCCCAGCCGCCCCCCCTCTCCTTGGGGGTGTCTGCTGATGGCAAGCGGAGGATTCGGAACTCCCCCAAGACCGGGACTGTCCCTAGGTGTCTCACCCACACCCACAGCTGCCCGAGCCTCCTGGTGTGTAAGAATCGCCCCCACCCGGTCTTTTAAGTGAACGGCTTCTCCAAGTGGAAGATGAGAGATAAGGTACCAGGGTTAATTTTCCGAGGCGGGTCGCTCACTCACCAAGCTCTAGTCTGAGGACTGCAGGGAGGGACCCGCAGAGGCCTTGGCACAGGCCCCGTGATCAACCAAGGTCCCACCGGAAGGGGACCGGCACCCGGCGCCCCCGGTGGCCATCCTCACACCTCGGGCGGCCACCCCACTGCACTCCTGCCCCGCGGCACTGGCAGCGCCGCGCTCAGAAACCTGCCTGTGGCGCATCCGGAAAAGCGCACGAGGCGCAAGCTCACTGACCTTTCACAAAGTGGACACGCGGGGGTCATCGGCGCAAACAGTAACCAGACATCTCCCGCCGATGGAACCTATTCTTCTTCTTTTTTTTTAAAAAGTCCCCCGAGGATATAGTCACAGATTCCAGAGAGAGAGGAGGAAGAGGAGGAGAGAAACACAGAAACATCAGTCTGCTGCCTTCTTGCTTGCGCCCCAACCGAGATGGAACCTGAAACCTAGGCTGTGCCTCCACTGGGAATTGAACCCACAAACTGTCGGTTTCTGGGGCAATGCTCCAACCAACTGAGCCACAGCAGCCAGGGCTGGAAGCCCTGTCTTAGGTCCCAACCGGGCCACTGCCCCCTCCTCCCTCCCCCAGCCCCCCACAACCACTGTCCTGACCCCATCCCCGCCCTGGTTTTGCCTCGTGGGGTTCACAGTGAAGAAGCCAGATTCCACCGAGGCATAGAGGAGACTTTAGTTTTTCTTCTTCCACAGGATCTGAGAGGCAGGCGGTGTGCTGAGGCTGACCAGGGTGTTCTATTTTATTTTCAGCTGCCAAGACCCCTACTTCCTTAGCATCACGTACACTGTGAGGAATTTGGGGGAAGGAGTTACCTTAGTGAGAAACTCAGCAGCCAGCAGAATGCCACGTTGCAGGGTGGGGGGCACAGGGAATGAGACAAAGAAGAGGAGGCATTGTGAGGTGATGGGGGCGCCCCAAAGCCAAGGCCTCCAGGGGGGCTGCCAGGCTTCCGGGAAACTGACCGCATGTTGACATTTTGCCCAAAGAGGGAGAGAAAAGCATTCCACTTGCTCCCTGCCACACCCTCACCTGCTCTGCTTCAAACAGGCGTTGAACAGCAGGCGTATAACGTGAGCCACAGAAGGTACGTCTGTCTCCTTGTTGGGGTAAAATACACGGGACATGAAATGTGCCGTTAGCAACATTTAGTGCATTCGCAATATTGTGCGGCCACCACCACTGCCCAGATCCAGGATGCTTTTGTCACCCCAGAAGGACACCGCACAACACAGTCACTCTCCTTCCTCACACCCATGCTTAGATGCCACCAGGTGGGTGACCACGCCTTAGCCACCTGTGCACTTTCCGGGCCCAAGGGCCTTTTCCATCCTTGACAAAAGGGTAGCTAAGCTTCTCTCCTTTATACGACACCCACCCTACAGTTGTAGACTTTCCTGTAGCCACGTTTGAAAGATAAAAAGGAACAGATGAAATGAATTCTAATAACTTCTTTAATCCAATTTATTTAAATCAGTATCATGTCATTAGGTGCAAAATAATTGCACGAGTCTGTGAGATCTGGTGTGTGTTTCACACACACAGCATATCTCCCTCCGGAGCAGCCACGTTTCAGTGCTCGCGCCCCATCCTGGCTAAGAGCCCCCACCGTGGGACAGTGTGGCTTTACGCAACCCACAGGACTCAACCACCTTTCCGTAGACTGATCGTCACACATGCAAGCATTCTGAGTCTATGGTCTTAACTATAACTTTCTTTTCTTAATTATAAAAGTTAATTATGTGTAAATCATACGGAAAATAATCACCCACCAGCTCCACCACAAGGGAAAATGTAATCACTTTTTAGCGCTCCGTATGTTATGACCTCTCTGTCATTCCTTCCTCGTCACTGCTCCACAGAGTGGCACCACCGTCACTCGGAGGTGGGAAACTGGAGGCCAAAATGACAGACAGCTAGCTCACCAGAAGATGGGAAGCTGCCCCCAGAGTCAGGGTTGTCATTACCCAGGACCATGAGCCTGACCTGGATGGTAGGGAAGTTGGTGAACGAGCTTGTGTCCAAGACTTCTTCCAGCCGGAACATCCCCAGGTGCTAGGACCCCGCTGGCACTCTCCACCCAGCAGGCACACACACTGCCCAGTCTCCAGCTTCACCCCACAGAACAGCGAGCAAAGGACCAAGTTCACCTCTGCTCGGCCCTGCACGCTCGCTGGGAGCCACCGAGCTGAACGGAAGAGCTTTTATCTAGCATCCATGCTCAGAAAGAAGACCGAGCTAAAACCCAACTCAGTGTCCAAGGCTTTATAAACATTTTTTTTTACATCCCCAGAAACTCCTTGCCACAATGCCCCACGTGGGGAAAAAAATGTGCTGTTTCATAGGTTTGAAACAGCATCTGATTTAATACTATACAGTTTTGCTTTGTCACAAACCAGAACTACTACTTCCAGATTGATGACACCCTTCTATTCAGAGACCAAAGCAATCCTGGTTAACAATGCGGCCATTCCGTGGCTCAAGGAATAGCTTTATAATTCTTTGGGCCTGGAGATTCCTGAGAGACAGGTTATTTTCGAGAAGGATTTAAGGTTTTAAAGCTCTCAATGAAGCTTGAAATTCATCTTTTCCAGCTCACATAAAAGGTTTTCCTCTGAAGCTTGGCCGGGAGGTGGGAAGAGAGAAAAAACAGTTGGCACAAAGAATCTCCCTGGGCTCTTAGAGAGCAAGGCTATCACTCACCAGCTTTCCAAATCCTGACCTTGTCTTAAGAATAAAACAAAACACAAAAAACCACACCACTGGCTCTTGTGTTCCTTACATTGTTATTGCTGTGTTTTGAGCCTCTTACTGGTGGATTCATTAAAAGATACTAATTGATTCTTTAAAGAAGCAAATATTCTTACAAAGCATCCTGTCTCATTTATCTATCCCCCTCCCCTAACACACAGGCATTTGGTACAGATGTGTACACAATTGTTAGGCCCCAAGCCTGGCCTTTTCCTGGCATATTGATTCAGGATTAGCTAATGATGGGGCAGTTAGCTCAGTTGCTTGGGCCCGTAAAGGGGTCCTGAGGACCCGTGAGGGGTGAGGGACGGGAGTTTGGATCAGTGCGCACCCGTCACCCAAAATGGCCACAGGCACGTTTAACCAAGATGTACTCGAGCGAGCTCTATGTTTCTAAGAAAGCCAGAATTTCTTATGCCGGTATTTCCACATCGTTAAAGAGAATGTCAGCACTAAATTGGGGTAAGAATGTGTGTGAGAGAACTTGACCTACAGAAAATCAGGTGAGCGTTTAGAACAGCTGGGTCCTTATAAAAAATGGGGACTCTTGCGTCTGTCTTGCTGCAGACCCACTCCGGGATGGCTGGGTGTCAGATCCCGAAACACCCACTAAAAACGTGGTTCCCAGGTGACCCACGTGCAGCAGACACACACACACACACACCTGCCTCCAAGTCCCCTCCACGGAGTCATCAGCAAAGGTTTCAAAGTAAGACTGTTGGACTAAACCAGATTCTAGTGGAAGATGGTGCCACTGTTTGAATTAATGCTGTTTTGAAAGTTTTTGTTGATTGATTTAAGGTAGAAACATCAATTAGCTGTTCCACTTGTTTATGCATCCATTGGTTGCCGCTTGTACATGCCCTGACTAGTTATCAAGCCCATACCCTTGGCCTAGTGGGACGATGCTCTAACTGACTAAGCTACCCAGCCAGGGCCTGAATTAATTCTTGCCAACTTATGGGAAAGGTCAATTGCTTTAGCGCTATGGCCAGAAGTCAAAAGTCTTGAGTTTTAATTCCAGCCCATCGCCTTTAACCTGGGCACGTTACTTAACTTTATCAAACCTCACTGACAGGAGTCATGCAGTTAGAGAAACGTGAGATTATCATTCTGGGGCAGCTTGCACAGGGGTTTACACCCACCTGACCTCCCTGGATTAACGGGGAGCTCAGACCTCAGGCAGACTACAGGTCGGATTGTTTCTGAAATTTTATTGGTGCGAGGACAGTGCTGTGATACTCCGGGTGGCTGGAACTTTTTGATCTGAGTCAAAAGTGAGGCACATACAACTATGTTCATAACAGCACTGTTCACCGTGGCCCAAGACCCAAGTGTCCACCGACAGAAGAATGAGTGGTAGCCTCTGGCAGACTTCATGGCAGTCACCGTGTGCATTTGGGGCACAGTTCAAATGTGGACGTCGCTTTAGATTTTTTTAAAAGTCCTATTTATTTTTTTGAGCTCCAAATATCTGTTTTATTACTGGCAAAAGCCAGGCTGCAGAATGTGGTTTACGAATATAGAAGCAATGGAATGTCTATGATGGGTCAGCAGAGTCCATTATGTTCTGCAAGGCCTTTCTGTGGTCCACAAGAGAAAATGCAGATTCTCTTGTATTTTCCAAATCAGATTATTTCGAGCCACGTTGACCGAGAAAACCTCTCAGAGGTTAGGCAGTGAAACCTGGTGAATCACAAAGTCACCCCAAGAAGAAGATGTTCTGCACTTGAACTTAACCCCCTCCAAAATATCAAACTGCCAGGGAGCCCCAACTCTGAAATGAAACCCCCTTACAAGTGAAGGTTCGAAGGAGTTAAAACAAAAAGGTAAAGTCTGAAGTTAAAATCTCACCCTCCATCCAGATTAAGTTCAAAGACTTCACATTTTCAACGTCTTATCCTTGTTAGGCTGGGCGAGGAGAGTTCTTGATGTTCCGGGTGGGGGTGGGTTTTTTTTTTCAGTGTCTGTGGCCTGGGCTGTTGCCCCAAAAAGGGACTTTAGAGTTTGGATGAATTCACCTCCATGTCTCTGATATGCCTCACTGTATTTCCTTTTCTATTTTTTAATTGCGGTTAAAAAAAAAAAAGCTTAAAAGTTACCCTTGTAACCATTTGTAAGTGCAGATCGAGTGTCGAGTACACTCACGTTATCGCGTGCCTGTCACCACCCTCCATCTGCAGAACTCTTCTTGTCTTGCAAAACTCACACTCTGTCCCCATTAAACAGTAAGTCCTAGTCCCCTGCCCCCCAGTCCCTGGCAGGCACCATCCGACTTCCTGTCACTCTGAATCCAACTACTCCAGGCACCTCAAAGAGGTGGAATCTACAGTATTTGTCTTTTTGTGACTGGCTTATTGCACTCAGCACGGTGTCTTTGATGGGCACCCACATTGTAACTTGGTTCACAATTCCCTTCCTTTTTTAAGGCTGTATAACATTCCGTCGTGAGCATCTGCCACATTTCGTCCACTCGTTCTTCTGTCGGTGGACACTTGGGCCTTGGGCCACAGTGGACAGTGCTGCTATGAACATAGTTGTATGTGCCTCGCTTTTGAAACAGATCAAAAAGTTCCGACCACCCAGAGTATCCCAGCGCTGTCCTCACACCAGTAAAATTTCAACAATAACCCAGAAACGTTCCAGGCAGAATCACATTTCTGAAGCCCCTGTGTGATCCCGGCAGAGGCCACTGTGGATGGAGAAGGGAAGATTCTTCTAAGCCAAGAAGGTCCCTGGCTGTCTTTGAAGCGCTCTTCGGTCATGGCCAGGTGACCACAATCCACAGAGGTTAACCGTGGCCCCGTGTTTACCATTGTTCGGGGGGGAGGGGGATGAACTCACCGCTGCAAACAGTCTGCCTTCTCGGAGACTAGCCTTTGAGGCATTACTGCCTTCAACGCCGTTTCACGGTTCAGCATGAGAACACAATTAGCAAGCGTGGAACAAGGATTTATATCCTGCCTGAGAAGCTTAAAATGTGGCCACTGTGAAGCAAGGCCAACACTTCTGAGGGGGACGTCACGGGGAGGAGGACGGAGGGCTTGATCTGTCCCGTAGCTCCTGTCTGGGGCAGCGTCTGCCAACACATGGGGTGCCCACTGGAATGACGCAAAATGTCACAAACAGCTGAGGAGAAGGGACCCCCCCCCCGGAAACAATGTGGGCACCGGAGCGGGGTGAGGGGGGAGGACTCACATAATTAAAACTCGAAGAGGGGGTGGAGCTCAGGAAACAGCAGCTGAGCCACACACGGCGAAGACTTGAAAGCTTCATTTTGTTCCGTCTCAAAAGCCTTTATTTTGTCAGCGGAACGAGAATACAGCTTTAAGAACTAAGATTCACCCCACCAGGCATTAACAGCGTCCAGAAACTACGTGAATAATCTTCCTCGACATCCTCAAGACGTTTAAATCTGTCCAACATAAAACCGCAGGGGGAATCGTTAATTTTCTCAGTTTTCTCAGCACAGGTACACCAGATCTCTCAGCCCCACAAAAAGCTCTAAATATATTCTCTAGGACTTCAACCGCCTTAAAAGATAGCCTTGCATTTATCTTGGCCACATTAACGAGATCTGTTTGACCAATACATTTATATTTATGATGACTAAGGGCAGATTA